AACATAGATCCAAGGTATTTAGGGTTGCATGTACACTTAGGAGTGTTAGAATGCGCAAAACCCATCATTTTTACCTTGAGCCCTCCACCTGATGCCCTTGGCATACAAATTCCTTAACTCACATCTTACTGAAATAAAGGCCTTGCACGAATACACTCGCGATTCCCAACACGATTTTCCACCAAAAGCCAACTCGAAAATATGTTTATAAATTTAAAATACATAAAATATGTAAACATATACATATGAAAACTTTAAAAAATACATAAATACGTAAAAATAGATATAAATACGTAATACATACAAAATAACAAATAAAAATACATATATAAATATGTAAAATACTTAAAAATACATATAAATACGTAAAAAATACGTTTATATATTTAAAATACATAAACATATACATATAAAAACTTAAAAAAGTACATAAATACATAAAAATAGATACAAATACGTAAAAAAATACGTTTATACATTATATACAATTTTTGATAAAATTTGTAGAAAAGTCCTATTATTTTGGAAAAATTAACGATTTGGTCTCATGAACAGGTTAAAAAAAGGCTAAAATGAACAAATTAGCCGGTTTCTTGGGTTTTTTTATTCAAAAAGTTAAAAAGTCGGGTCTTTTCTTTTTTCAAAAAACAAAATTTATGACTTTGTTAAAACAATTATTAAATATTGAAATTTTTATGAAAATTATATAAAATTTTTAATCTAAAAAGAAAATTCTTTATATAACATTCGGATAAAAGGGTAATACATTTTCCGATTTGTACACATTTTGTCAATGAGTTTTTTTTCGTCCATATTTACCCCCTTCAACTTGGTAAACTATACACATTTAATCATTCTGACCGGTTACTTCAGGTTAGCCGGGAAAAATGACTTAATAGGGTAATATATTTCTCATTTTGTACACAGTTAGTCCTTAATATTTTTGTACATATTTAGTCCTTAATATTTTTTTTGTTTCAAAATAAGACATTTTTGTTTTTGTACTCATTCAGTACTTATGAATGATTTCTTTAGGTTTTTCTCACGACATTTTAAGTGGGACAGTCGTTGATGATACGTTTGGGGCTGATGATGCTTGTGGTTTGGCTTATGTCTTGTATTATGAACGTCGTAACTTCTTCATACGATATCAAATTTTAAAGATCTTTATATTCACATGTTTGTTTTTTGAGTCTACTACAACTTTCGTTAAGATTACTCCCGTTTAAATGTAATATATATTTCTACTTACGATTTTATAAACAAAACATTCATACATGCATTCATAAAAAACGTATGGATATAAAGATCGTAAGTAAAAATATATTGCTTTTTAACGGGTGTAATCTAAATGAAAGTTATAGTACACTAAAGTAAGAACGCATGGATATAAAGATCGTAAAAATCCGAGATCGTATGAAGAAGTTATAACGTTCAGAACACATGACCTAAGCAACCAAGTAGTCGAGATCGCGATGGACATAAGCATCAAGCCCCAAACACCTCATTAATGAATGTCTCACATAAGATGTCGTGAGAAAAACTAAAAAAAAATCATTTATAAGTATTAAATGAGTACAAAAACAAAAATGAATTATTTTGCAACAAAAAAAATATTAAAGACTAAATGTGTACAAACATATTAAGGACTAAATGTGTATAAAGTGAAAAATATATTATCCTATTAAGTCATTTTTACCGGTTAACCTGAAGTAGCCGGTCATAAGAACTAAATGTGTACAGTTTAACAAATTGAAAAAATAAATATGAACAAAAAAAAAAAAAAAAAAAAAAAAACTCAATAACTAAATATATAAAAATCAAAAATATATTATCCTTTTAATCATTTTTCTAACATTTTTAATCTAAAAAGAAAATTCTTTATAACGCTTCCCGCTGCCCCGCTCCCCAGAAATGACCCTAATTCAACGCGGGAAAACAATCCAGCGAAAAGAGTGAGAAATGGCGACAGAGGACAACGGCGGCGAAGAACACCACGTGGAGGAGGAATTCCGCGTCTGGAAGAAGAATACACCTTTCTTGTACGATCTCGTCGTCTCTCACGCTCTTGAGTGGCCGTCTCTCACCGTCCAGTGGCTCCCGTCAGAGCCGTCGCTGGATGCCGACGGTTCCTTCGCCGTTCACAAATTGATCCTTGGGACACACACCTCCGACGACTATCCTAACTTCCTACTCGTCGCAGAAGTCCACTTGCCGGTCAATCATTCAGCAGCACTTGAAGGCAATTTGGAAAACCACAAAATCCCTAAGGTCAGCTAGCTATTCAATTGATTTTTACTTATTCTATATACACAACCATTCCTCACACAACCCGAATCGCAAGAATCTGAAATTTGACCATGTTAATTTATGCACAAAACACTTCTGTCAATGTTGTATCAAGAACTTTTGTGAATGTAAAGCGTAGACAAACTGTTCGACGAAATTACTGGTCTAATTTGTGACTTTATGCGCCTGTTTTTTTGATAAAGTAACCCTAAAAAGTTTGATGTACTTGTATATGTATTGTAGGTAGAGATTATTCACAGGATACATGTTGATGGAGAGGTGAACAGGGCACGGTGTATGCCTCAGACTCCATCAATCATTGCAGCAAAGACCAGTTCTTCAGAAATCTATATATTCGACTCCACAAAGCAACCTTTAGATCACGAAGGAGGCTCTTGTGAACCTGACATTAGACTAAGAGGTCATGACAAAGAAGGGTATGGCCTCTCATGGAACCCTTTCAAAGAAGGCTACCTCTTAAGTGGCTCCAACGATTGCAAAATCTGCTTGTGGGATTTGTCTACAATGCCAGACAACAAAGCTCTTGATGCAAAACATATCTACGAGGTAAAATAGCATCCATTATCATCCTCTTACTATTTAATTTTCAAGAATTTATGGTTGACTAACGAGGAAAACAGGATCACGGGAGTGTGGTTGGAGATGTATCATGGCATTTGAAGAACGAATTTCTATTCGGATCTGTTGGTGATGACTGCAAGCTTATGATTTGGGATTTGCGCACAAACAAACATCAACAATCTGTTGTTGTTCATGAGAAAGAAGTGAACTACTTATCTTTTAATCCGTATAATGAATGGGTTCTTGCTACAGCCTCTTCAGATACAACTGTTGGTCTATTTGACATGCGAAAGCTCACATCACCTCTACATGTTTTAAGCAACACGTACATTTCTTAACCTTGACCTTGACTTTGACTTTGACTTTTATCTCATGTGATGATGTGGTTTTGCAGGGATGAGGTGTTTCAAGTGGAGTGGGACCCGAACCATGAAACTGTGCTTGCTTCTTGTGCTGATGACAGAAGGTTGATGGTTTGGGATCTAAACAGGTACTTAAAATCTTTAAAATGTAGGGTGAGTTATTTATTTATTTATTTATTAATTTTATGATCAATATCTTGTATTAGGATTGGAGATGAACAATTGGAAGGAGAAGCAGAGGATGGCCCACCAGAGCTTTTATTTTCTCATGGTGGACATAAGGCAAAGATATCTGACTTTTCATGGAACAAGAACAAGCCATGGGTGATATCTAGTGTTGCTGAAGATAATGCTTTGCAAGTATGGCAAATGGCTGAAAGCATTTATCGCGAAGATGATGACAATTAAGATTTTTTCTCCTTTTTTTTATTTTTCTTTATTTATGTCTTGAATTGTTACTGTTGTATCCAACATGCCAAGATTCCCTAAGTTCTATGGAAATTTGCCATCTGATTTAGGCATGGATGATATGCTAAAATGGAGAAATACAAACTAGAGAGAAAAAAGAAACAATTTTGCCCCTCTAGTTGTGTATAAACATGAGTTTTTTCATTTGGTTACAATACATCTAAAAATATGCTCTTTAATCTCCAATTCTAGACAAATTACACGTTTCATATTCCCTTTGGTAACTTTTATTATGGTAATTTGTTAAACAACCGAATATGTATAGGAAAATTTGTTTGTTTATGTGGTTGTATTTGTTTGTTGGTTAATCTTAAATGGACAAACATGAACTTTGTTTACAACCTACTTTTCTACTATGTACATGATCCAACTATAACTTTATCTTTTTATAGTTAGACTATGTTTGGTGCACTACAGTTAGTTGATAAGTTAGGTTATTTTTCGATATTTTTTAACCGGTTATGTTTGACAAGCTAAAAAAATAGCTTATAAGCTAGTTTTTTGAAAAGCTACTTGAACTAGCTTTTCAGGAGTTTTTTAATCTTTTTTTTTCTAAATATACTCTTAATTAATTATAAACATCGTATTTTTCTAAATGGTATTTTATTTCATTTTATATATTTCAACTACTTTTACCAAACATTACTTTTTAACAACTAGCTAGCAATTAGCTATTCAACTAAAAGCTAGTATGCTAAACATAACTTTAGTGTTGGTTATTAATTTAATTTAATCTAACTTTTCTATTTGGTATGTTCTATATTTTTTAAGGTTAATATCATAAAAGACCTTATATATTGTGTTTTTGTGGATTATATTGCAACTTTATTTTGTTTTTCCTAAAATAACTTTATTTTTCTATTTTTTTTCAAATTAATCCTTTT